AAAAAACAAATTGGAATTTATGCTAACATCTCAGAGCGATATGAACGTTTAGACTCTGATAAATCCTCAAATGAATGTTTTTCAAACTGTATATTCTGGAGGGAAACTAAATGCTCCTATTTGGAACCACTTATCCTTGTAACATCAACATGTCTCTAAAGAGCTGTTTTATGTCAGAGTCTCCTTTAATAACCCTGTTTTTAAAGAAATAAACATTTTGAAAGTCACATTTTCCAAAAAGAATGGTCTGAAATACAAAACCAGTGAGTTTGGGATGGATTTTTGGTTTGCCAGCTTACCTTCTCCCTGACTCTAAATGAGAAATAGTGTGTCCTCAGACATATGTGAACAAAATGCCCTGACCCCAGTGCTTATACAAAGTCATAAAGGTCAGAGCGGCAGATCTGGAAGTCTTAAATCTCCCACTTCAATTATGACAAAGTTTAGTAGGTACGAGCCCAACCTCCCATATGTCTCTCTTGATTGCTGTGTGAAGAGAATAATTGTTTCTTTATAGAAGATATCATCCTAGCTCCGTGTTTAATCACTCTGTAGTTAATACAACTGAGAAATTATATGACCAGATATTTCCTGCTCCAATTGTTTCTCTTCCCTGGATACTTACATGGTCATTTTGAGAGAAAATAAGACCGTCAAGGTATGAATAGTTCTAAAAGTTTTCTACATGCAAAGATTTAATGGGTATTCTTTTTCTAAACCAGAAAAGCAGATACCTCTGCCAATATCAAACTCTGGACTTCCATTTTTGTTCTCCTTATCCCTTGCATTTTATAATCCAAGAATTTTACACAAACCTGGGATAATTGGGCACAAACAATTTTTTTTTGGGTGTAGCTGCCATCAGTGAAATCATTGGAATTCAGGTATATTCTCCAAAGAACCTTTCCTATCTCCTCTCTTTTCCCATTTGTGTGGGAGACTTCACATGTATTTAAGCTTGAACAATTCCCATCAACAAACTTCCCTTCTCTTGTTATCACCCTACTCATTTAACAGATCACATCCCTTCCATCTGCTTAGTGTACAACATTAAGGCCTGGATGTAATACAAGGGAAGTGACCCCTTGGTCTAAGACCCCCTAGTGCCATGATGGCACTGTCTCTCACTTTGGTACAGTTATTGGTGCACTTAAAAGACCCAATGCTCTGCTCACCTTTGAACTGCTACTACTCTCAGAAGCTCATGCAGACGCTGATGCGGGTACAGAAGATAACCTTGGACCACCTTCTGTCATCCTGCACCAATGGGGACATACTCAGAAACCACTCTTCTTATTGAGGAAGAACCTTTTCCCACCATTGGTGTCACATTATTAACCAAGCTCCAGAGGAGTGGCTTGTCTCCCTATTATATTACAGGGACTTTAGGTAAAAAGAGTTCTACCAGATTTTCTTGAATTCTCTTTGTTCTATAGGAGTTAGTCATGCAACCTTATAGGAGCTGCAAGGACTTAATGTCACTGCTTCCTTAGACCCACTGAGACATTGTTCTGAATCTGTGAATTAGGAATTCACCTTTTCCTTAGGATGACTTTCCCATGAGGTAACTCCATCCTCATTCAAAAACATGCCAAGTGAATTATGCCTACCAACCTTCTAGCTATGCCTAGACATGTCTGAATCCCAAGGAGACTATACTTGGGCTCAAGCTGATGTCCTTACCACTTTTAATTTGATACTTTTTTCATTATCCCACCCCTTTTTATTTTCACTCTATATTCAGATATTATTCTATATATATTATCTGCCTATCATTCTCTATATTTTAAACTAGAAATCAAAACTAAGGATCCGCTTTGAAAAGAAAATCCACAGCGATATGCACCTACCTATATATCGTTTTCCTCAATCAAAATGTTTTAGGTGGGGTTCTTTATTTATATATCTGCAATATCTAAAACATACTATACATTTAATAATAAAATCCAACATGTTCAAATGCATTTTATAAAAGATTCATTATTTTCAATACATGTAATATAGTCTGGGTTCCCATTAGCACTTCTAACAAAAACAACTGTTCAGCCACTCAAAAGGTTTAGTCTACATAATCAATGTAGGTATATTGTGTCTGAAGGAATAGGTCAAATAGTTACACTACAGTGTAGCTGAAGAGCAAGAGTAACTGAACAAGCATTAACTTATGGAATCTTAATAGTCACCTCATTGCTGAAGTAAAAAGGAAACCAAGAGGAAACTTAATAATATCAAAAGTTATTTTAAAGGGAGTTCACATTGGTTTGAAGGGTACTTTGCTTCACACACAATATCCACCTTTGTAAAAGCCCAAGAAACCCATATTTGTAACATACACACATCTTTACAGTTTTCAGAACATAAATCTTTAGAGCAGTATTATTTCTCCACAGATAAAAATTAAAATATTGAAAGTCTTTAGAAAAATAATAAAAGAAACCCTCTTGCAAACCAAAGGAAACTTGGAACTTTGTGTTAAGTGCTTATTTAACTATAAAAGGGTCTGTGTGTTGTAATGAATGGAAAACCGATTTTACTGTATTCCATTTGTGAACATCTTGCAGCAACCTATTTCTGTATTAGAACGATCATATATTAAAAATGATTTCTGCAGTCATCAATGTATACAAGTAAAAATTTAGTTTCTGTTAAATTAACACTTCATTAAAAAATCAAAATAAAAGCTCAACAAATACTTTTTATGTCGTACTCCAAGACGGGGGAAAAAATAAAAAATTTGAAGAACAGATTGCCAGTTATTCTATTCCATAACAGTTAAGTTTCTCAGTTCTTTATTTTATTTTTTTTCTTTTGCTGAGCTCTCTGTCACTGGAAACATCTTAAACCAATTTCAAGTGCTACACCTGAATAAACATGTTGTAAAAGTGTTTATGTATTGAAGTGGGTCAGTTCAAGGTATGGTATTTGGCTGGAACTTCTAATTTCTCTTTTTACAGCAAAAGGGCTGCCAGAAGGAGGAAGTCTGAGCTGAATTAATACATTTGTTACAGTGGAAGTAGAATGGAAACTGCTCTGACCACAAATCAAACTGCCTCTTTCATTTATGCCAGTGATAGAGTTTTTCTAAGAAATATAGACTCTGGCATAAAGCCACTGTAAGTTTGCATTTAAAAGAGAAACCTATGTGCTTATTTGTTTAAGGTTTACTGCTTTGATTATTTGTAAAATCTTTCTCTGGTAGGACTGAGGGTAGTGGCATCTGTGAGATAGAATGCCATTTTAATACTTGTAGGAACTGAACAGGTTTTGCCAACATGTTGTAGAACAATTGTTGAGGACCCTGATGCTGCCTGGATGGTGAACACTTTTTTTTTTTTTTTTTTTTAAACCAATACCTCCACATTTAAAGGACCTCTGTGTCTGTCCCAACAGCTGCACAGCCTCACATGACACCGTCTCCGTTTCTGACGGTAGAAGGTCTCTGCACAATACAAGTATACACAAAAGTGTTTATGTTGCCAAAATAAATTTTGTTAAGAGCAAGAGTTTATTTGCTAAAATGCCATTGATGCCGTTTCAGGGACTTGTTTTCCTTTTCTTTCTTCTAAGGTGGGTCAGGCCTTATAATGTACTGAGGTTGCTCCACAGTCTTGACTGAATAAATATTTTAAGAAAACATGCTCATCTCCCATGGGGCAAAGCAGAGTCAACTGTGCACATATTACAAACCACATTATATATTACTCTTCAAAGATTGGTAATTTCTGTCTGTCCAGTAGAAAATTTGCATGAGTTTTGAGTAATTCTCAACAAAATTTATAACTCAAGATTACATAGTTCACTCTCTTTGAGTAATTTTCATGGAAGTAGATATCAGCCAATGGTTTGCTTCATATATATTATAGTATTCATATATATTATTGTATAGTGACATTACATATACTATTTTTAGTCATAATTATAAACTAGAGACGATAACGAGAGTGAATTGTAAAAAGGGGAAATGGTAATATGTAACTCCTAGAGTATTTGCTGAATCAAATAACACGTGGAAAACAGTAAAATGCCTAGCACATACATAGCAAGTGCTCCCAAACATCTGGCATTATAATAATTATAAATATTATCATTACTACCCCAATGGGAGAGGTACTTTATTAACATCTACTTTTAGTGTCCAGGTCACCTTGACTCGAACTCACTCCCACAGGGCCCACGTTCTTTGACACCCAGCCACACTGAGTGGCAGAAAAGTCTGGGATGCTGGCTGGGTTAGAGACGAAGGTCAGTCTCCAGGCTCCCCAGGCATTTTTCTCCTCTCTGAATATCTCCAGGCTTGGTTTGCATCTTCTGCAATGCTTTCAGTAAACATTCCGTCATGTCAAACCCCAGAAGGGGAGGAATTCCGAAATTTTCATTTTACTTCCAGTTACTTCACATTGAGAAAAAACGGACGCTTAAAAGCAAGTCTGCATCCCCAGCAGGGGCTTCTGGAATGACCTTTGAAGAGCTTTAAGTGGAGCAGGGCTCTGGAAAGTCTGCTGGGCACAGGCCAGAGGTGAAGGGGGGAGGCTATCAGCACTAATTAATGCTGGAAAGGCTTGAAAGAAGCTGGAGAAAGTAGCAATGTCCAGCCAGCCATTCAGCTTTTATCACTTAGAGGAAAATTATAGGGAATTTAATACAGAAGAGCCCATAGCTAATATTTTTGAAATTGTTACTTAATGTGGACATTTCCAGGCTGATGGTAGTCAAGCCTTCCCATGTGCGGCCTTGCTGACTTCCAGGTCTGAGAGCGATCCGTTCGCGGAGGCGGGCCCGGGGGGCTTCTGTGGTGGAAGAACGATGCAAAATGGAAAATCAAGCATGGAGAATTGTCTGTAATAGTAAACTCCCGGTGTTTATAAGAATATCTGGGCTGCAAAGGAAACATTCTGCTAATGTTTTCAAACTTAGTTTTCAAAGTGCCCTCAGAATTCATTCACAGCAGGTAAACCTGAACCCCCCCCCCCCAAACTGAGTGTGTGTGCATTCTGTTCTAGGACGCAGTATCAACGTAAAATCTGCTGGTCTGGTGGGGAGACACGGACCTCAGTCAAAACAGCCGTTCATGGTGGCTTTCTTCAAGGCGAGTGAGGTTCTCCTTCGATCTGTGAGAGCAGCCAACAAACGGAAAAACCAAAACCGCAGTAAATCCAGCTCTCATCAGGACGCCTCCAGAATGTCCAGTGTTGGAGGTAAGGTAAAACCAGACCAGGGGTTGTGTGCAGAGAGTTATGGGGTCACATGTTGCAAATCAAGTAGCCGCAATAAATTTACCCTCTGGATATACCTTTATTTGGTTTATTAAATCATCCAGCAATGTTTCTAGCATCCCCAGAATGTTTCGTCAGTGAATCACTCGGTAATTCATTTTAAACTAAGTATGGCCTTGCCTTCCTATGTTGAAAGATTCAGTTCAAATTAAAATCAAGCTGGCAGTAATAAAATTATGAAATGGCTACATCAACAAAGTCTAGCCAAAACTGAATTGCACAGCTTGCTGAGTTGTCTTCCCCAGGGCTCCTCAAATATGGAGGGGTAACCAGGTAAATTCAATGTAAAAATATTTCTTTAGTACTTAAAACAATACATGTGAATCAGGCAGCTTAACTTTTTCTCCTGACAATAGGAGCAGGAATTAAGAAAATGAAGATAAAATTTGTATTTCCATTAATTATTTGGAGGGCTCTTATCTAGACAATCTGCTTTCAGTGCGTGTGTGTGTATATAAAATCTAACAATGAAATATTGCCAACACACAATTGATCCCAATGAGTTTGCAGTTTAATCTACTAATTGCTAGAAAGGAGATAAAAGTACAGTTGGTCTAAGTGGGTCTAACTGCCAAAATCTGAAGTGATTTCATCATATTATTTATGCCAGTAAGTGCCTTGTTTAGTCCAGGCTACAGACAGATTTTTTGTAAACTGTTTTTAGATTAAAAGGATGGCCATTATATTCCAAGAAATTATCTTTATCTATAAAAAAAAAGAAGTCTATTTGAAGGAGAATGGTTACCCTAGAACCTCTCAACTTAGTCTAACATGTTGGTTCACTTGTAAAATGTGTATTCGTCCATGTCAATGGTAACCGCTTGCGAAGCATAGTGGATGAGCTGGCAAATAAAACAGACATAACCCCTGCATATGGTTTTTCAGCAAATTAGAATGCTTTACTCTCTCAAAAAAGACACATTCAGACAGTGTTTGCCATTGTTCCTGAAATCTTCATCCCCCCAATCAGTTGAAACTGATAAATCCTATAAGAACATATAAGGTTTTTGTGTGTTTGTTTGTTTCTGCATCTGCGACGCTCAACAAAAATATTAAGTGGTATCTATTGGAAACTTTCTTAAGTATGGGCACCAGGAGACTACAGTTAGAAAGAAATCTATTTTGTGCGTTTCACAACAGAAGCAAGGGGGAAGATTTCTATATGGAAATACATTATACTGATTTATAATCTACGTGTAGAGCGATGTTTTTTGTAATCTTCACCTGAGGACATGCTTATTGGTTTTATAAAGAGGAAAAGGAAGAGAGAGAGAAGCATTGGTCAGTTGCCTTCCCATATGCACCCTGACCAAGGATTGAACCCACAACCTAGGCATGTGCCTCAAACGGCAATTGAACCCACAAACTTTTGGTGTACAACATGATGCTCCAACTAACTCAACAACACCAGCCGGGGCTAGGGTGATGTTTTAAATTATTCCAACAAATAAATGTAACCATCTTTTTCACTTGAAAATAAAACATGATAGTAGTGCCTTATTACTAAGCTATTTTATAAAGATCTTCACAAGATATTTAGTTTGGCAAAAATTGTAATTGGTTAATATGAAAGCTGGAGAAAAATAACTTTCTAAGACCTTTCCTTCCTTGTAAATACTAGCCTGTCAAAGTTGTATATTTTTCTTTTCATGTAGAATGGTCTGAAATTGGTTGAAATGTTTTTAATTTAATGTAGCAGACTGCATTAAGAAAAAGGTTTGTTAAAACTTGAATAGAATAGTAAATACTTTTTGAGGAAACTACAAAGGGAAAAGCGTAAGTCGCATACTTATTATTGAGCTCATAACGTCTCTGGCAGAGGCGTCCTAGAGACTGAAATCATCAAAGTCCTTTCTCCTATTGGTGACCTCTATTTATCTTCTCTTCCTGACCACAAGTAACAAATGGACTTCTATAACGAGATATGAATAAAACATATGGAGCAGAAATCACGTAACTTTTCACCAGTTTTCTAACACCATTTAGAGTATAAAATTATTCTAATATAGACCAATATTTTCTTTTTAAAAAGTTTGTCATTGGCAACCATTTCTGTGAAATATGTGGTAGATGGTTTTGGAGCGAGTTCATATTTTGATAATAAAAAGGAAGAAAGTAGCTGGTTTGTGTCTATGAGACTTAACCTTTCAATAGGTAGTAATCAAGCAGACGGGAAAAAAGTCTCATAGCATTTGGCCTAAAAGACAGGGCTTTAAGGAAAGGGAATGCTAATATAAACACAAAATTTGATACTTAGGAGACTTGAAATGCCAGTGAAATTTTTAAATTATCCAAATATAAATAAGAAATGCTGTAATAGTGCTAGGCTTTTACAATGAAATACTGTGCAAAGACTCCATGGCTAAGAAAGGAGGGAGGAGAGTTTTAGTAGATGTTTGCCTTCTTGCTTTTTTTTTTTTTCAAATTAAATAATCAAATGTTGAAAGTCTCAATTAGTGCAGGAGAATTAAAACCCAGGTTATTCTTGCTGTCTTTACCCCATTTCTTTCCTATATCAAAGATTCTTGCCTTCTGATTTCTTAATACCCCTTTATTCTTCCCTATTCCTATGAGAGAGCCTGGGATCATGTCGGGCTTAAAATAGGAACCACCAAAAATACTTGTTATTTAAGTTAGTGTGCTGACTGTATGGGAAAAGCTAATCTCCTCCTTCAGGTGAAAATACACTAAACTACAGCTCCCAGGTTTTCTGCAGAAACTGTCTCTCTTTGTTCCTCTCCAGTTTTTTGGCAAGAAGGTTAAGCAGACATGTTATGGGAGAAATAGCCTGTTTCATGATGAGGCCCTACAGTGGTTGTTTATTTGAATTTGAGTGTGGGGGAAAGGAAAGGGGGGCAATAGCTAAAGTTTAGGGTAGCCACTCTTTAAGATATAAAGGCCCTGGGTTGTTAAAAATTTTAAAGAACCTACTGAGAGCAAGATGCTATCTTACATCAGTACCGACAAGAATAGAGTATTAAGAGTTTGGAAGAACTGAAAGGGCAAATGGCAAGTCCTGGTTCACTACAGAACTGCTTGGAAAGGTTACTTATTGTGTGATCCATACCAGAGATCTTTGAAGGCGAACCCAGTTATTAGTGGCCCTGCCTGAAACCATGGTGATGTCTTAGGACAAATCTTTCAAAGTCATTAAAATGAAAGCACTGTGCCCTTATTCTCAACTCTGATAGGCACTATCTCTTGCCTACTGTATACAATGTAAAATAACACCTCTTGGACAAATATATTAATTAAAACCAGAAAGAACAATTAATTAGAATTGTTTGGAATGTTTTATATTATATAATTAATATATATTTTTGTTATTTTAAAATAATCAAGTCATAAATAAGGCCAAAATTCTCCTTTGATCAATTAATCTTTCTGAGATAGGTACCCTGATGGAGATATCAATAGGGTACTTGTACTTCCAAACCTTTTCTTCCATATATAGTATCTATTAGAGAATATATTTTTATTGTGTGTTTTTAACTACATGACTGATATATTTTATGTACTTTTAAAGTTTTAGGTTCATAAAAAAATTGAGAGGAAGGTACAGATTTCCCATGTACTTGTTCCCACTCATGCATAGCCTCCCCCATTATCAACATCACTCACCAGAATGGTACATTTGTTACCAAAGGTGCATCCACATTGACACATCATTATCGCCCACAGTCTATAGTTTTCCAAGGTTTACTCCCCCTAGTGCTTACGTTCTGTAGTTTTGGACATATATCCATTGTTATAACATCATATAGAGTATTTTCACTGTCCTAAGAATGCTCTGTCCTCTGCCTAGTCATCCCTCCCTTCCCCACCCCCCAGCAGTCACGGATCTTTTTATTGTCTCCATTGTACTGCCTTTTTTTTTTTTTTTTTTTTTTTTTAATGCCATATACTTGGTTTTATTTATTTTTTTAGCAATATGTCTCCACCATCTTTCAAATTGGAGACCTCATTCTTGGTGACCTCTGTTATAATATATTCAATAGTGCTTGTATCAGACTTTATTTAATTCATATCACTCTTAAAAGACATTTGGCTTTCACTAAATTGGGGCTCTCAAAATCAATGTCGCAATGAAAATCCTGCAAGCCTACACATATAAGAATGTTTCTAATCCACATGATTTCTATAGTAACTAACACAAAACGCTAATTTCTGTACCCTGAGTCATGTAAAATTTTGGAAATTCCTCCTAAAATAACACTTATTTTGGTTCATATACTATATATCTCATGTTATCTATTTATCTACCTACCAGTCTATACCCTTATCTATAATTTCTATATCATTGTGCCATTTGATTCTGGGTCCACTACTTACTAGATGTATAATCTTGAACTATATATATCGCCTCTGTTTCTTCTTAAAGTGAGAATGTTAATAGTACCTGCCCCATAGGGTAAGATTCCATGGGTTGTGAGGATTAAATGAGTTAATATGCATAAAGAACTGAGAACCATGGTACATGCTTATTATAGTGTTAGTCATTATCATTGTTACATATAGTTTCAATTTTTCAGAACTGGTACTTAAAGAATTCACACTCTTACGTCAGAAAAAAACTAGATATTCTCTCTCTCTTTCTCTCTCTCTCTCTCTCTCTCAATCTCTGTCTCTCATAAGTACCCATACCTTGGTCACTTATTGAGATTCTTGCCCTTTGAGAATTCATAAGCAAGAGGGATTTTAGAATATTTAACTTAATTTGGCCAATCTATCTGAGCAATTAATTATATAATTTAAAAAACTTGTCAATAAACATTAATGTATTATTTATGTTGTCAAGTCTCTTTCTAAAAATAATCCACAGAAAGAATATAACTGGGCATGACTTATTATAAAATAATATTTATTCAATATTAAATAAGCACTCATTATATGATTAGCTATATGTTAATAAAAGAGGGATA